GACTGCTCTCCATGAGTTACCGCTGATCACATATGCTTTCCAAAGTAGGTTAAAGCTCTGCTGTTCTAGATTGGTAGCATTTCACATTCACTGCATGGTGAAAGGTTATGGTGAAAGGTTGCTGAGAACTAAGCCTAGATGGTATCACAGGTCTTGGCTTGTTATACAGAGAATTTGCTAGGAAAGGAGTGACATTGGTGGAAATCCTCTGTATTGGCAAAGCAAACAACCACACACACTGTGCATTGTTGCCATCCACCTTGGTTTAAATTCTGCGACTCAGGCTACATAGAGGGATACTATATAGCCACAACCCTTATGTTGCGGGAGCACACACAAACAGAGGGACTTAGTCCCTTCTACTTTCCCACATCAAATTCATCCCTGAGCTCTGTAGTTACAGTGTAGAAGAAGGATAGGAGAGGAATATTTTGGTCAGTTCTTTCTCTGCCTCAGTTTTACATCTGAACACAAGGATGGATAAGCTTTAGACAGTTTAACACTCTACATTACTTCATGATCCCTTTTTCCTGGATCAATTTTGTTTAATTATGAAGGCATACAAGCTTTCCTTGCTGAACTTTGTGCTTTACAAAAGATTAGTTCAATGTGGCTAAATGTATTCACTACCTTTAATAAAACTGTGGAAATAAATGAGGGAAAATATTTGTTTCCTCTATCCTCCTTCCAAGGCATTGTTGTTCTTTCCAGTGTTCTTTGGAGTGTATTTTTGGTAGGCTTGTCCAAGCTGGTTATAAGTCTTTTTATTTATAAAGAACGAGCTGTATGAGGACATGACTTTGAGTGATGCTGGATAAATAGGGACTGTCCATCAAAGCAGAGTTAACAAATGTTTATTTGTTAGAACCACTAGACGTCAGGAATTCTGCTGTCATTTCACTCCCGATATTTCTGAGCCCAAAGAAATGGGAGATTCAGGTAGGTTTTCCAAAATCAGTAATGGGTTCTGTCTGCATAACTTTTGTCTATTATTTGACATTTCCACAACCTATTTCTCCTCAGGCTACAATATTTCACTGTTATAATCTGCCAGTGAAATCCTTCCTCTCCCAGTTTCCAAGTCAGTACCTTTACCCAGACAAACCTTCACCAGTCTTACGCAGGTTTGTGTAGCATAAACACAGTGGTGACTGCTGCAGTGTTTATAATATTATTTTTATAACGGTCTATAAAGCTGACATGCACCTTCAGCAAAAGGTTGTAACACACCTCCTGACATTCTGTTCAGCTGTTGTTCCACTCACAACTCCCATTGAACTATGTACAATGTTTTAGGTGTGGATGTGCCAAAACGTCACAGGGAAGCACTAAAACCTCTCACTACTCTGATTTGTTGTATTACAGCTTAAAGCCATAATAAGGCTCTGAAAGCCCTCAGTAGCCAAATGACTGTGACTCTGATATCTCTTGGGACAAAGAAGAAGCTTTCAAGGCCAGTATAGTCTTTGCCACACACAGATGCGGGGAACAGGAATTCCACGTGCCCTAACACCAAATGATAGGGAACAGGAATGTAAGGCAGAGCTGGCCACAGCCTGCTGGAGGCCATGGGCAGAGCCAAAGAATACTCAGCAATAGAATTCCACTATCTGAAGCCTGTTCCAGGCCAGTGTGGCAGTAAAGGGCTACAGTAACCACAGTCATAACCATAAGACAACAGAGAATAAAACATTAAAAACATCTCAATAAATTGTAGCATAATGAGCCACTGGCTTTCAGACCTGTCTGGAAAGGCCTGGCACTTGCTCATCTCCACCTTCCACGTGACCTCCCGTGTCACCACAGTTCATTTGGCAGAACTGAGGGCACAAACACTCCCTGTTCCACCACAGCACAAAGGTCTATGCTCTATTCACTGTCTGTGAATGCTTCAAGGCACTGCTTGAAAACAGGTGTGAGGACCTTCAGAAAGCTCACAATTTACCTCCATCCTATAAAATTTAGTGGGTGCTGAAGAGTACAAATGCACTTACTATCACAGAACAGATTTTTTATCATTTTTCTGCAGAAAAAAAATAACCTCTCCCAAATCCTTTATCCTTTAAGAACTCAGACATATAATGAAAGCCATGAGTCATCTGGAGCTACTACAGCCAGACTAACATAACTGCAGCTTGACAACAATGGTGCAGCAATGAAAACACACTCATAAATATTTTTGTCACCTTGGTACCTTCTGTGAATGGGGAGCAATGCAATCACAGTTTGACATCATGACTGGTATCAGTTTGTGTTTTGCCTAGGTTCAAGAGATATTGTCATAAAAGTTACACAACTGTCTGCCAATAATTATTCTTAACAGCAAATTTAATAGAGTTTTGGCATCCATACCTGGAAGCCTAGAACTTACATAGCTTCTCCTCATGTATTCCATGTGCACTTTGAAGGATAACATCACACTCTCCATCTCTCCTTATAGCTTCAACACCTGCAATTTTGCATAAAAATAAGCTGAGTCTTAAAAGCATAAATGAATTTGCAAAAATCAATAAGGACAATAAATTAAAGTTGGCAAAAATAGAGCAGGGGTGCTGTGAAGACCATTAGCTTTCCAGAGTACTGCCTAACTAATCTAAGGCTGAAATGGAATAATCACACTTTAAAGAGCAGATTACTTACTAAACACTTGCCTTTTTGTTGTTTTTTTTTTTTTAATTAAACATACAGTCTTAGTATCCAAGGCATAGTTTTAAGGTAATAACAATATCCTACCCCAAGTAACTAAAGGGCAGTGAAGAAACAGGAAATCCTGTCTTTGCTGGCATAAGAAAGCAAGTGAATGGGACTATCCTCAGCCCAGCAAAGCTTCCTGCCTGGTAGCACTGAGAAGCTTCCTCGTGCTGGACCAGTCTGGGATTAAACATTGGAGTTCAACTACCAAAACTGTCAGTCAAGAACCTTTCAAGCAACCTAAATTCATATTGAAGTGCTAAAGGAAATGCATGAAATAGAAGCAAGTCATTCAGTGTTCACAAAAGACAGCTGATTTAAAGCAAACTACATAACCTGTTGCGTGGGTGGACTTTTATCTCATGTGGGTTTGGTTGACAGAGCAAAAAATGTTAGCCAATACAAGGTTAGAGGCCGTCCTCTGAACAGATGCAAGTGATAACCCTGTGAGCTCAGCTGTCTGCTCCAATCACCTTGCAAATGATAGCGTGTTTCCAGCAAAAATTACAGGAATTTAGTCAGTTTGTTTGGACTAAGTGAAATTGCACAACTATATAATTCTGCACGCAAATGCTGTGGAAGCACTGTGGAGGCTTCCTCATAGGGGCTTTAAATAGAAGGTACCAGAACTCTATAAACTCTCCCCAAACAAAGCAATGCTTCCATTTCTAGGGAGTAAATGTGGCCCAGCAATCTTTCTTTGCCCTTGGTACCACATATGTAACAAAGGTAATTCTCCTTTAGTATTTATTCAGAATCTTAAAATTTGGCCAAGTTAAGAGTTTCTGACTCCTCAGTGAGGGGCTCGCAGTACCAAGTGTCATTTATTTTAAAGGCCCAGCTCCTGGAATCCTGTGATCATCCTCCCACATTTCATTTACAAATGTAAAAAGCACAGGGGATGCTGGTGTTTGACAGTACTCTAAAGCTGATTTATATGCTGAAGGCAGTCTATCCATGGCAGCACGGAGCTGCACACAGACAAATTCACCCTGCTGCACTGTTCAGCATGCTGATACAGCAGGTATTGACACAGCATGCACATATATCACAATATTGATACAGGATACAGCAGGTAAGTTTCAAGCCTTCGTAACTCCCCAGGGAAGCACATGAAATAAAAATCATCAAAAGAAGAAAAAAGATTCAATGAACCCTGCTTCTCTTCTGGTTTTCCTGATCTGGGACGAGGTTCATTAGTTCTGAGCAGAATGCCTGATCTCTGCCAGTCCGATAGGAGACCATTTGGCTGCAAGCCTAGCCTGCCTCTACCTGCAATACTGCCAGCTCCTGCTGTCTTTAGGCCCTTTATCACTTCTTCTTTAGCCTGGAAGGGCGGCGTTGTCAGAAACTCTCCATAACCAACACTAAACGTCACTGCTGAGTGATGTGAAGCACTGGCACAAAGGCTGAGCACCCACAGTCCTCTGAAATCCTCCTGAACAGATCAGAGAGATCCAGGGTGGAAAACTGAATCTAAGACACTGAGTAAGCAGAAAATTCCTTCAACACCAGGCTACCGGACCATTCCTCAAATTTACCAAAGCATTTCAGCAAAATGCTCTACAACCTTTTTAAATGCCCTATGGTGCTGGATTACTTATGGCTTCCCACTATTGCTCCCATTAAAGACTTCTGTTAGTGCATTATGCATACAGAGGTCAGACACTCTGAGAACAGTGTAAATGGAAAGCATTCTGGATGAAAAACAGGCTTAATGCTGCTTTTTAGCTACAATTCAGCATCAAAGTCCTGCGTGGGGCAACTGAGGCGGGCAGCATGGTGTGATGTTCTCGTCCGACAGCAATGGCAAACACAGCAGTATCCACCCCCGAGAGAGGCGCACAGCACGGTTCAGCATTTCATCATGCGGGTGCTCACATGGAGCAAGGACCTACTCTGAGGAGGGGGCGGAGGGCACCTCCCGCCCCCCCCATGCTCCGCGCTGATGGGACGTCAGCGCGGCCGCATCCCTTGCGGGGCCCCGCAGGATTTCCTGCCTCCGCAGCCCCTCAATTCCTGGAAGCGATGTCTCCCGAAGACAGGAAGGGCGGGCGCGGCGCCGCCAGCTGCACCGAAGCCCCCCGTGAGGGGATGCGGCGACCCCCGCGCCCCCTCAGAGCGGAGCGGCGCGCGCACAACCCCACCTCCCCCCACCGCCCCCCCATCCTCCCCGCGCGCTTCCCGCCGCCGCCGCGCGCACGCAGGCACCGCTGTAACGGCCGCGGCAGCGGCACCGCGTGCCGGGGCGCGCTCACGTGACGGGGCTGATTGGCTGGGGCGCGCGCGCCCGCTCCGCTCGCGCCGGGCCGGGCAGGGCAGGGCGGGGCCGCACCCGGCACCGCACCGGGCATTGGGCACCGCGGACACCGCTCCACACACAGCACCGGGCATTGGGCACCGCGGACACCGCTCCACACACAGCACCGGGCATTGGGCACCGCGGACACCGCTCCACACACAGCACCGGGCATTGGGCACCGCGGACACCGCTCCACACACAGCACCGGGCATTGGGCACCGGGCACCGCACACACCACACGCAGCGCCGGGCACCGCACCGGGCACCGCACCAGGCACCGCACCGCGCTGGGTCACTTCTGTCCCGCCCCCAGCGGGTCCCGCTCCGCGCTCAGGTGAGACGCTGCGGCCCCGGTCATGGGAAGAAGGGAGGGAAGAAGGGAGAGAGGGAGCGAGAGGGTGGTGCCCGCTGTCTAGGCTTCCCGAGGCTCTCCCGGCGGGACGCGGTGACCCGGCGGGGCCGGGCGCGGTGGGAGGTGCGCTGGAGCTGCGGGAAGGAAGGAGAGGTGGGTGGCGGAGAAGCCCAGCGGGCCGGGGGCGCTCCCCGCTCCGGGGCACGTCCTGACCGGAGCCCCGGGCTCCTGCCCCAGCGGGGTCCTGGTACCCGCCCGGCTCGTGCTGGTGTCTCGTGCCCTTCGCCGGTAAGGGCAGAAATGCTGACGGCTCTCCCGGCAGTCAGGCGGTGCTGCTGCATCGCTGCCGACCCATTAGATACCGTTAGGCGTGTTTGGTGTTTCTGTGCTTGAACGCGGTGCAAATAGTGCGCCTGGGGTGTTAATCGCTGCACCTGGCATGACTTTTACACGTTCATGCGGGAAATTTATCGTGGCTACCCCCTCTTTGTGAAAACTAGATGGACAAATCTAAAATTTGTTTGTATTTCACTTTCCTGGTGTTGGTTGGGCACATTTTCCATAGAAATGAAACTTTCTTCTCCTATAGAATCTCCAGGCGCTTTCTGAAAGCACTTTATTTGAAAAGCAATTTGCTGAATTAACATAGCATGCACAAAGATAACCTGAGTTGACGTACTAGCAGAATAACATCTATCTCGTGAGCAGAAATGGAATATTCCTGCCCTTAGGTTCCTTTTTAATCTTAAATTATTAATGGTTCTCTGTATTACAAGAATGAAATTTGTAATTGGTACAGAGTGCAAACGCGTGTAGAGAACTGGATACAAGAAGACCTGATTATGAAGAAAGATGTACCTCCCAAAAAGACTAGCAGGAGAATGAAGTTAGAGAGCCTCTTCTCTTCTTTACAGTTGTTGAGAACCTCTGGGGAGAAGCACTGGGCTGTATCCAGCCCAACTCTTTTGCAGCTCTCCAAAAGGAAGAATGAGAAAAGGGCAAAACTTTTCCCTACTTGGATAGCATAGGAAATTAGAGCTTTAGTACATGCACTTTTTAGCAGCTGTTTAACTGAGTCCTTGTGGGTGCTCCTAAGGCAGGGTGAGTGGCAATCATAGTATCCCATCTTCTTTTAGAACCTGATTGTCAACTTCTCACCAAATGTTGTCATTTGTACTTAGCTAAATAGAAATATTTACATCACATGTCATCAGTTTCTTTCGTCTGCGTAATCAATGCAGGAAAAAATTCCTTTTTCTCTAAGGGAGACTCTAGAAAAAGCACACTTGCCTAAACTGAAGTAGAAAGGGCAAAACACTTGCATTTACTATGGATTCTAGAACACTAATGGTTTGAAATTATCTTGAGAGGAAGTATTGGTTTAGGTATCAATGGGAGGTAAAATTTCTACTGTGTGTTCAACCATGTAATGTACAGCAAGTGAGGTGTATCATAGTAAAGATTACAACAGTGAATTAAGGTTCTGCTCTTTCTTTTACTTGAACTTTTTCCGGTATTTGAACTCTTAAAGGCAAAAGTTTGAAGTGAGAACATATTAAACAAGGAAGAAACATGAGGCTTAAAAGCAGTTTTCTTCTACAGAATCCTTCAAAGTTTGTTGAAGAGATTTGGGGCAGATGTACTGTGCATGTGTGGTGTTACAGAACTGAAAGCGATACATAGAGATGATGGGCTGGTAAAAGGAAACTGGAGTAGTATTAGAGGATAAAATTCTGCAATGTTTTTAGTTTTGTAATAATCTTCAAAAAAAACCAGGGGTGAGACAAAGACTGAATCAGCTTAGGCTTCTGAACAAGCCAAAGGTGAAGCTGAGGTGGATTTGAGGAGAAAATTGGGCTGAGCTTTCTTGAGTTTTCTGTAGTGTCACTATGTTAGAGGAGTGTCTTGTCCATAACAGAAGAGGCTCCTAGACCAGATCACACATGATTGTTGGCCCCAACAAGTCATCCAGGGAGCCTAGTGTTCCACCCGGCCTTGCCTGCATTCCTTCTGGGCCTGGTTTACACTGCAAATGTTTCACCTGCCAACCTGCAGCAACAACCACCTGCTCCTCACCTTCCTGCCTATTTAAAGGAAATTCCCCCCTTTGGAGAATTAGACCATTTAGGTACATCCCTCCCTGAATTACTCTGTGTTCCAGCTGGCTTTAGTTTCCCTCAGCTTACGCTGACCTTGCTGCATGTCCTGCAGACAGTACCACGGTGTGCTTGCTGTTGTGGGTGAGTGTGAGTTCAGGTAATGACTGCCTGGGTGTGGAGCAGATGGAAGAGAGAAGGAATTGCACTGCCATGGAAGGAACTGTTGCTCTCTCATGCGGGCACTCAGGGTGAGAGTTGTATAAAGCCAGCTCTCTTCTCAGCTATGAGAGAGACTCAGATGAGGAAGGTCCATGTAAGATTTAGCATCTCTATTCTTCTGAGTGCGGATCATCATCACAGAGATAGATGATCTGCTTGGTATGAAAGATGTTTATAATTTGAAGTTGTAATCAGTCAGCACAATGCTAATTAAGAATTGAGCCTTTCTTTTATGGTCTCAGCTATCTTCAAAACCAGAAACCCAAAGACTGAGGGCGGGGGAATGGAGGCCAGAAACATTTTCCTGTGAAGTGGAACTTTTAGGCTTATGCTTTAGTAATGATGAAAATCATGTTTAGCTACATTTCTATCCACTTACATTCTTCAAACAACTGGTCTGACTTTACAGCATAACAATTTAAAAACGTCTCAGCAAGCAGGAGAGTCTCAGTGTGTCCTTTAATAGGACAATAATGTAAATAATTAATGATTGCTGAGAAAGAATTATGAATGAACTGGTGCATGTCTGTTTGAGAGCGAGAAGGATCTTGATGTATCTTTGGAGGCCATGTCTGTGGATTTTAATGAGGGCAAAGCAGAGAAAGGCTATTAGAAGTGTATGAGATCTCAGTGAAATATAAACAGGGAGCTCTGGGTTTACAAGCAGGTAAACCAGATCCTTTTTTTTTTTTTTTTTTTTTGAAAAGCTGCAAGTAACTTCTAATCTTCCTGCCATCAATACAATTCTCAACAGTTGTAGCTGCATGAAATATGGCAGTTCAGGAAGACTGATATGATCTTTACCACTAAAATGCTTATTGTTAAGTGTCAAAGGGAAGGGAAGGACTTCTAGAGGGATATAAAGATCATGCCTCTAGCTCTTGTGTCAATCCCTTTGGCTTGCTTATTCCACAAAGGTGGAAGGAAGTGTTACTTCACTTCCTGTGTTTGCCCTCACTGTTGTCTTATGCTGGGTATCTACAGCAGGTGAGAATTTCTGTGCGTAGCTAACTTCAGTCCTAAATTCAACTTTGAAAAGTTGCTGATAAGAAGGGAGAAATGCCTGGAGAAGCAAAGGGGGCCACTAGTCTGTTCAGCTGAAGAATCTGCATTTTACTTCTGCTACTCAAGCTAGAACATGAACCTCTGAAACCTACTTGTGTCACTGAGCATTGCTTTGAGGGCACCATCTGAGGTGAAATCAGTGTTGCTCCCACCTTTGGTTCTTGGAAAACCTCAGCCTTGCTCTTGGATGGGAACCAAGCCACAATAACACAGACGTTTACCAAACCCAGCCAAGCACTTTCATAATTAATTTCATTTGGGACCAAAGGGGAAGCAACACAGAAGTCCCAGTTCATGTGTCATCAGGCTGCTAGCCCATATTTTAGTCTTGATATCTTCTTGAAGGTGGGCAAAAAAACCTACTCAGGGTCTGTTACCTAACAGAGAGGAGTTGGTCAACTGTGATAGAGTAGTGCTCACTTATGACACCTAAGGTGATTTTTAAAATCTAAATCCAGAGGAAAATTACTAAAGAACAAGCTTCATTTGACAGAGCTGTGTCAATCCCCAGTTATGCTCAAGAGCTCATCTAGCTACCCATGATTTCTTCAGTTCATTGGAGCAAACAGTATTTTAATGAAGATTTTCAATCTACCTGTTTGAAACTTTGAAAGACTGTTTTGTTTACCAAGCAGGCCTGTTTTACAATATATAATGGATCATAAAAGATGTCTTTGCTATTGCATGTGTTGTAATTTTATGTTGAAAATAAGGTTTATTCTCTCTTCTTTTTTTTTTTTTCCCCCTCTCCTTTCCTCTTCAGGAATGCCACAGTAAGAGAAAGACATGAAGTATCTTTAAAGGAATTCTGCTTTTGATCAAGCTGCTAAAAATGGATATGAACACTACTTTCTCCTTTGAGGTAAGTATTGACAGGGAGAAATAAAAGAAAACCTGACTTGTTTCACTTAGTGTTGCCTGTCACCACTGCTGTTCTGTCCAGCAGCTTTTGATCAGGTATTTTATAAAGTTATAGCATCTGTGTCTTGGTGAACTTTGTACTGGAAGTCTTAAATGGAAAAGTCCTAGAATTAATCCTTTCATTTACAGAATTACTCAGCTTTGTTCTGCTATTCCAGTAGATAAAAACAAAGGCATAAAGGATGGGTGTTGTTGCAGGGTTAGCAATGGGTGGCTTCTGCACAGAGTAGCTTTTGACCCAATGTCAGGCTTTTTTTTCAAAGCATCAAAGAAACGGAAGCTGCTAAAGTCTAATTTTCAAGAGAGAATACTTACACAGACTAACTGCAGATGCAGGAAATGAGTGAGATCTTGGATGAAAAAAGAGATTGTACCACAAATATGCAGGTACTGTTTCATGCATCCAAGCAGGTTTCTAAGTTCCTGCTCTCTGCAGCCTAGGGAAAAGTGGGGCCATTGCCAGCCTGAATTACAGGTGCATATTTATATTGCTTTTGTCAAGTACCGCAGCCAGATCTTCACAGTTCCTACGGTAAGCATATAAGTTAGTAAAACCAAATATGTGTCCTTAATTTAGGATCACAGGAAAATTCAGGTTGTAAGGAACCTCAGGAGATCATATAGTGAAACCCTCTGCTCAGAATTTGGAGTAATCAATGAAATTAGGTCGTTTTCACCCATTGGCTTTCTCAGTCTATTTTATGTTCAGAAGCATTAACAAAAGATGGATTTATATCTTGCCATATGTATTGAATGCATATTATAATAATGCAGATAGGAACATAACATGCTACTGAAATTTATCAGAAGGGAAAGTGTTTTAATTAAGACAGGATTGTACAGGAATGGTCTGTTTTTCTGAACAAAAAAGGGAACAATAAGTTTCTAATGTATTCATTTCTTGCAATTGCAAATGAAACCTCTGCAGGTCAGCTAACACAGTGACATGCTGCCAGTATTTTCAACACGGGTTCCCTGCAAGAATTACCCCTTCCCAGGCATCTCTAGGAAGTCTATTTATTTACTTCCTCATACAAGCAAAATTGCTTTCTCATAATAAGGGGAAGGGAAGTGAGCACATTGCTTATCCTGTCTGATACATGTTACTGAAACATTTCCTCTGAAGTATAAATATTTGTTCATGGGAAAACATAGTGACAATGTGAATAAAAATAAGCATCTTGTCAGGAAGCTTAGGGAGCAATGTTTCCCCTGGGCTCTAAAAGTAAACACAAACCAAGGATCTCCCTCCCCCCATCATTATGTACTACCAGGCAGAACATTTTGTGAGCCATAGGAATAACTACTTCAACTGTTTTGGCCAGGGAGTGTCATACAATGAAGGGGTTAATCCTGTCAGGAGAAAGATATTTTAGCATTCAGAGCCTCATAGGAGGGTCATTGAAGTGAAGAGACACTTGGTTTACTTTGGATTTATGCTTATCTCAATGTGCTTTGAATTGATCCCTCAAAATTGGTAATTTAATAGCTTTAATAGTCACATTAGTAATTTAATGAGCCCCTTTCAGCACATCATCAAAGACAAACATATACTTTGTGAATAAAAATAGAAGTCATTTTATAGGTAATGCAGTTCCTGAAAGCCAGTCTATAATATTACATATGTGCAGGTTGGGATTGCCTTGGTTTAACCCCAACCAGGAACTAACTACCATGTAACATCCCCAGTGGGGAGGAGAATCAGAAAAAAGGTAAAACCCCTGGGTTGAGATAAGGACCATTTAATACTTGAAATAAAATATAATAATCATTGTAATGAGAAGGGAGACAACAAAAAGAGAGAGAGAAATAAAACCCCAGAAAGACAAGTGATGCACAGTACAGTTGCTGACCAAGGCCCAGCCCGTCCCTGAGCAGCAATTGGCAGCCCCTGGCCAAATCCCCCCCAGTTTATATACTGGGCATAATGCTTTATGGTATGGAACATCCCTTTGGCCAGTTTGGGTCCCCTGTCCTGGCCATGCTCCCCCTGAGCTTCTTTGTGCACCTGCTCACTGGCAGAGCATGGGACACTGGGAAGTCCTCAATTTGGAGTAAGCATTACTAAGCAACACCTACAACATCAGTGTGTCATCAGCATTCTGAATAAATCCAAAACACAGCACTGTACCAACAACTAGGAAGAAAATTAACTCTATCCCAGCTAAAACCAGGACGGCGATGCTATGAATTATTTAATATGCACTAAGACTGATCTCAGCATCAAAAAGTACTTATTAAGGGAAATGGCATACCTTAGAACCCCAATATCTCTCTTCACCTCTGCTCCCAGTTTCAAGTCTCATTTCCCAACCTGATTTTCTGTCTCTAAATGAATTTCTAAATGACATGCATAAGTCATGTAGTTAAATTACAGAATAATGTTCTCAGAAACACCAGTTCCTGTTGCTTCTGTGATTTGGTCTCACTTGTTAGAGAACGCATCTGCAGATCTGAACAAAAGTTAACTTGTGTACTATCATGTACTCGAGTCAGAAGATGCTACACCTGTGGAAGGCATGTCTTTGTAGAGGTGTTATTTGTTCCTTAATATCCTGGTCACAGCTTATTTGCTTATGGGCTTTTGTGTCACTTGAGGCATTAGCAGACAAGTAGTAGTAAATTTAGCTCTCTGGGTAAAGAAGCTACTGCTTTCTCAGAGATTACTTTCTTCATGCTCGGTGGAATAAAATAGCTACATGTGTGATAGCCTCTACAGTGCAATTTGGTAATTTAATTTAGCTGACAATTCAGATTGGTAAAAGCAAAGTTCTGGACTGTGCAAACCCAGCAGAGGTGTGTGTGTAACGGTAACCTTCAGTAAAATCAAATGTGGCAGAGGAAATTTTAAATTTTAAAACTGCTTGAGTTAGTTCCTTGCAAGGTGATCATTGTTTGTGGCTACAGATTAGAAATTTGGGGGACTGCCACACACACTGTGTGTGGTTGGGGTGTGAGGGGAAGGGCAGTGTTGCTGTTTGTTGCTTTTGATCTTCGTAATTAAATTTATGTTCTCTAGCACTGTTTATCAGACTGTTGAAATCCATGTTTCTAACTTCATCATGGGATCTCCTATGCTTTACAGAAAGGAGAGTGAATGATTTTCACACCACCAATGCAGAATCAGGAAGAATTTGTTATTAATAGGTGTGAAATGAAGAAAGAAACGGTGCAGTTCTGAAATGTCCATTAATTCAGGGAGCTTAAGCATCGAGGTACCCAACTTGTGATAAAAAAGCAGTGCTGTTGCTCCAGAGCATTCTCTTGCCAACTCACACCTGTCCCTCACACTTTTGGAAGCAAGGGCCTAGAACTCCAGATGAGGATTTGCAGCAATAAAAGCATAGTCTGGTAACAGTACCTGAGCTTTAGCTACTTGCTTGTTTTCACCACTTTGTTGGTGATGAAATGTGCTTCTACATGGGCTTCTACATGGGCTCCTACATGTGCTCAGCATGGGCAGGTGTTCCAGTACTTGTCCTGAGCAACAGGTACTGTTTACATTTGAGGTGAATGTTATGGCCCTTGTGGCTGTCAGTGTTTCAGTTCTTGATTTAATGCCATTGCTCAACACTTGAACCCCTTAAATTTGGCTCTTGTATTTCAGAGACATGTTTTTGACTGTCATATGTGCTTATGACAGTAATGTGGATTATTGGTCACTAAATACAGGAGAAGGTTTCAAAAAACAGTTCCCAGTATTCTAAGGAAAATACCTGTGGGTCAGGCTTTTCTTGAGGCAATGCATCTTTCTCCTCTGAATTTCTCCGGGGGTGAATTGTTCTTTTAATCCTCCTTTCCTCATGTGTTTGCAACAGTGCTTCCCACTGGCAGCACTGTAATTAGGGAACTCTCAGCATTTCTCTTACAATAATGGTGCAGTAGTATTTTAGCTGTAGGTCTGAATTTCAGCTACTGTAAAAAAATTGGAATGGTGGAGAAATGTTTACCTTCTTTAACAGGTACAGTCTGATGAAATTTTATTGGCAATTGCTTTTGTAAATAATTCATATTTTTCCCTGCAAAAATATTTCGGTGATGAGGTGTGGGAGGAATTCAATTCTCTTGAGGATTTTGTAATGCTACAAAATGCACCCTGCTCTAGCAATTTTGCCAATATGTATGGGAGTAAATAAGATTAATACCTTTGTCGTTCTTCTCTTCTGCCATTACCAAGGAAAAGGACTCTTGCCTGACTTGGAAAAGACTGTAAAAGGGTTCTTTAAAAATAAAGCTCTACGTGCCTTGCTACTTTATTGAAAGAGAAAAAAACCCTGTTAGTAGGATTCATGATGCTTTGGCAATATGACTTCCAAGCAATGAGTGCATGAGAAATTTCAAGACCCTGGAATATTTTTGATTTTTTTAAAGCTCCCTGATGCCTGGTTTTCGAAACCACTGCTAGTGGTTCTAGTTTGGTTTTATTTTTACAAAGGTAAATTCTGCTCCTGACATATTTAAATGCTGAAGTTATTAATGTACGTGTAATTGGAAAGGGATGTCTTTCTCTCCGTACTTTGCAAATTACGCAGTATACACGTACTCCTTTAAGCCCTCTGATTTTTGCCTGATCTGCATGTAACAATGATACTTTGGCAGCTACTGGAGTAGTATGTTCTACACCCTCTGTAAAAACTGCAAATATGTGCAAGAAGTATGTGATTTCATGGTCCATGGCTTTTGAATGGTAGCATTAAAAAGAACGGAATCCTTCTTGGTAACTATTCCAAATAAACATAATTAAGGAAAGTCTCATCAAACAGCCTGGGGTGAAATGTGAAAATTGTCTTCATTCCCTGCTTCTTAGACTGGGAATCACTTATGTGCATTCCTCTGCCGTTTCTGCAATTAGCATTATCCTTCAGCTAAACCATTTTGCTAGAATTTATAGAAAGTGTTTCAGGGGGAGAAGGATATCCATCAGAACCAACCCTGGTTATA